GGTATAGCATTTTCGTTTAGAGCTGCAAAAAATGTGTGAATGTGTATATAAATGAGTGGCAATGATACGAAAACATTACAGGATATAGAAGCCCAATGAGTCATCAAAAGACTCGTTTTCGAGGCTCTACGTTATTTTCATAATCATCCTCGTAAATCAGTTTGATTACCGGTAGTTCTTGAACGAACTTATAGTTTCGTTCAGATTACACGTGTCTAACAACCCTCCCATCCTCCCCCTCTCCCTTTTCAAGTTTATTATCATATAATATTATTATTATGCCCAACCTCCGCTTTTCAGTTAACAGGCAGGCTACTAACCCCCTCCCCCCCTCCCACAAATTCAAATTCATTCCAATCTCTAACCTGGCGTTTTATGGTTGACTCATAGTTATTTCAAAGATTGGCGATTTCTGGCGATTTTTTCTCACCAAAACTTTGCGATCAACGTAACCGAAAACTTGGCAACCCTGGTGGACGGTGCGGCGGTAGTTTGGTGGATGCAGGAATGCAGGTGCGCGCGCCCTTTCCCCGCAAGCCCCTCACCGTCAAACCATCAGCAAGCTGTAGCGCAAAAACTACGCATTTTAGCAAAAAAATTACAAAGACCTTTTTTGATGGCCCAAAAATTAGAAAAATTTATACGTGTAAAAAAAATCCCAGATATCCTCAGCCGTTTCAGCGAAAAAGAGGATTTTTTGGTTTTTCGCTGTTTTACAAAAAACGGCTGGTTTCCCGAAAACCAAATTCATGCAACAATATTCGCAATCCTTTATTACACCATTACGCCAGCGGAAATATACTAAGTGACATATAAATCCGAACACCCAGTTTAAATGGTTTTATTTTAATAAAAGTTGGTGAATGTATTTATCTTACTGTAAATAATAAGTGAAAAAATTTTCAGCCTTATCAGTTGGACATTCCGGTTTTTATACTGCTTTTTTTTAATTCACTAACGCTAAATGAATATTTCAGCCGCAGTAAAGAATCAACGTTGGCGGATTTTGGTTCTTGACATCCTTTACGATCGGTTACGATGCCTAGAGTACGGAGACCCGTACGATTTCGTCAACTTAGTGAGTTTGATAGGGGCCGTATAGTGGGACTTCGGGAACCTGGACTTTCTTTTCGGGCAATTGCAGTTAAAGTGCAAAGAAGTGTAGACACTGTAGTTAGGTGTTGTCAGGCATGGCTTCGAGAAGGCCGTACGCAAAGAGCAAGGGGCACTGGACGCGGCCGTAGAACAACAGACCGTGAAGATTGCCGCCTAAGATTATTGGCCTTAAGGGACCGTTTCTCCACTACCAGGTCCATTGCAAATGAATGGTTTGCAGAACACGGAAGACCTATTGGCATGCGAAGTGTTTACCGACGAATGAGAAGTTTTGGCTTGTTTTCATACCGGCCACACTGGGTCCTCCCTTTAACTCGAGAATACCGACGTAATCGCCTTGAGTGGTGCAGACAACGGTCACTCTGGGATCAGGAATGGAACAGTATTGTCTTTAGTGACGAGTCTCGATTTTGTTTAGGCATGCATGATGGTCGTGCCAGGGTTAGAAGGCGACGTGGTGAAAGGAGGAATCCACAGTTTTTTGTTGAAAGACATGTTCATTACACTGTTGGAGTTGTGGTTTGGGGTGCTATAGCTTATGGTTCCAGGTCACCTTTAATCTTCATCAGAGGTAACATGAACGCGCAGCGTTATATCCACGAAGTTCTTTTACCCTATCTTGACACCCTGGCAGATCCAACTTTCCAACAAGATAATGCCCGACCACATGTTGCAAGAGCCACAATAGACTTCTTTTAACATAATGATGTCACATTGTTACCATGGCCACCAAGATCCCCGACTTATCCCCAATTGAGCACGTGTGGGATATGATGGGTAGGAGATTGCTCAATTTGCAACGTCCTCCTCAGACTCTAGATGCACTTCGAGAGAAGTTGGTGGTTGCCTGGAATGAGATACCACAGGAGGACATTGACCACCTGATCAGAAGCATGCCTAGGCGCGTTGGAGAATGCGTAGCACATCAGGGTGCATCCACACATTATTAAAGGTCAAAGGGCTTTAAAGCAGTGCAATCATTTTGAAATTTTTATCATTTACTTATTATGCTTGATTAAGTACGTATACAAAATTTTATTAAAATAAAACCATTTAAACTTGGTGTTCGGATTTATATGTCACTTAGTATAACTTTGTGACTATGTTATCGCTTTTGTCTCAGTTTCGGCGATTTAACCGGACTAAAAGAAGGGTTTCTAATTTACATTTTGCAGACTTTATGTTCTTACACCTTAATTTTTATACATAGGTACACATATAGCGGGCATACAGCGGGAAAAGGTGGTAGCCTAAACGTCTTCCCCGGAAATTTATTTAATTAGTTGACTGCATATACGATCGGTTATGAATGAGCGAAATAACAAAAAAAAGAGTTGTTATGAATACTGTATCGTTCAAAAATGTACGAGCACAATAAGACGTCAGACGCGAAATTATGGCAGCAATGATTTCGCGCTATAATGCGCAAAATTTAAGTATTAATTTCTCTGTCATTTATTGACTGATTTCAATATTTTTGTCACTGGTTGACTATATTTCATCTATACTTTGCTCATATGTCATTACTTATGCGATTCTGAACATCACGAAACTTCTCCATTGTAGGAACGACTGACCATCTTAGTTTGGTTGACGTCATCGTTTCGGTGAGGTCTTGAGGTTCATATTTTCCTGTCTCTTAGGTATTTTTTTATAAAAACCTTTGCCTCATTATTATTTGGTTCAGCGTGAATCAAAGCGCACATATTCTAGGGAAACGCACGTATACAGGGTCTACGAAAGGTCTACGAAAGGTTGGGAAATCTCGAAACTGGAGATACTACAGACCACAATATGTGAATTGACCTAAGCATACCTCAGTCCAAAAGTTGATAGTCACAGGGTGTCAAAGTTACAATTTAGAAGTTTGACCATAAAAAATAACGGATTCTTGTTTCTCGTACTAGAAAACCTACAAGCAATAAGGAAAAATAGAAAATAAAATTGTAACATTGGCACCCTGTATCTGGCAAACTATCAATTGGACTAAGGTAAGTTTAGGTCAATTTACATATTTTGGAATGTAGTATCTCCAATTTCAAGATTTCCCAACCTTTCGCAGACACTGTAAAACAAAAAAAGGCATCAAGTCGGTTGACGTAACATGAAAAAAAAATTAAACGGATCAAGTCAGTCAAACAGGCTCATACAGTTAGTTCATAGTCTTTTTCCTGGTCTGTTGATAATAGCGTCAATCTAGCAACATCGCCCTTCCCCCATACCTCCACCGCTAGTTCTAGGGGCAAATGTACGGGATAATTTATGATGTGTGAAATAATGTCTAATAGGTGCAAAAAATTATCGGGGCTGGAAGCGTATGGATATACGATCGCCAAAAATTGATATATACCCTCCTCCACTCCCAACAACCCTTAAAACCCAATTTTCAACCTTTGCAAATTTTGTACTAAAAATGACCAGGAGGATCCTCTGAAACATCAAAAAACTAAGTTTGAGCGGTTTTAATCTCCCTAAGTTTTTGCATCTAGTCCCGCCGCCACTGGACCGATTTTCAAAAACTAACAAAGCTTTTCCGTCCATGGCATAGATCTTGGATAAACATTTCATCAAAGTCCAAGATTGACAGACAGACCGAACAATGAGTAGCATGGTTTTTCTTGATGTACAAAAATAATCGATGCAAAATGCACATACCTCTTTCATCTTCTGCCCTCCAAAAATACCGAATGTGCAACGTCGCATTAGCACCTAAGGTGAGTCAAAAAGCATTTAGGTAGTGGCGAAACCATATGGACTATAGAGGAGTAGCGTCACTCCGTCGTTAAAGCAGTTTTTGACGAGGTGTCTGAAACTATATTGTGGTATCCAAAATCTTACATGCAGTTTAACTGTGGTATCTTTGATACAGCAGGTAGTCATCTGCATGTAGTTGACTACCGAACACAGTCAGGAGTGTTTTACATGTCGTCAAACTAGCAGGAAGTGGGATGTTGATATTTCGATGCTCAGCTAATGATGTAAAGGCGAGTATTGTTTGGAATTTGAGGCATCGTTGTAACACCACGAATCTCGAAAAAATAACTTAAGTATTTGCTTGAAAGAGTCACCGTGATTGCTGAAACGTCATCAGTAGGCAGCTTAAGAGGTTTCATTTGCAACTAGACAAACATAAAGGATTATAAGATCATTAGCTAGCGAAGCCAAAGACCTACCTACCGTTCTTTTTGCTCTTTTAAGTTTTAAGTTACACCGAGCTGGAACTCTTTTTATTGAACAACTAAATTTCTGTCATTCATGAGTGGGTAATACCAAAAAGAAGGAAATACGATACAAATGTGTTATTTAGTTTTACATTTTACGTCAATGAGCAATGGCAAACATTTTCAGGTATATTGCGAGAAAATAGATGAGTGCTAGACTGTCCGTTTACTTACGGTTGGTCTATTCAATACCAAGCATTCGACCTACCATAACAGAATTAATCAAACAATATGCTTCTGCCTGAATATTGAAATTTGAAAGAAATATTTTGCTTTTCAAAAGCCTGGAGATATTTTACAAATAAAGGTGCAATCTGCTTTGAATATCACATCATATTAGGAATTTAATTAAGCCCGCACCTCATCAACAGCAATAGCCCACCGCCACTGGATACAACCCAACCAACCCGTGCACTTCTGTCCTTTTATTTATGATTTGTTGCTCGGACATTACCTTCAACTATCAATAATGATAGCCCCACGGTACCCAATGGGTGTTTAGGCCTTAGGCCTTCGTGGTAGTTGGAGTATAAAAAAAAAGAGAGGTATGTGCAACTTGGATCGATTATTTTTGTACATGTCATACAACATCGATAAGACATATCTCATTTTTGAAGATCACAAAAAAAGTAAGCAAGAAAAAATCAATAAGCCTGTTTTTACCTGTCGTATGGTTTAGATCCAAATAGATGGGCGGCTGAGTTGACCAACCAGGTGGCGTTCAGAGTGAACACGTATCTGAAGATGTTGACAGTAAATGCGTCCACAAAGGTCTCGTTCCAGAGGTACATGGGAGCCATGGTGGGCAGTATGAAGCACACAAGTGGCATGAGGATCATGTAGTAATTGTGTTGGAAGACGACGACTGGGTCTGCTTCCAGATCCGAAAGCTCGATACCTAGAAGGAATGAAGAAGCTTTAGTTACAACCAACCGATTTGACTAAGTTAGGAGTCAAGCCTATATGTTTAGATGGTAGCGTTTGTCACGAAAATTACGTAGTTTTAGGGCCGTATTATCAGTCGTTCCTACAATCCAGGACGCCTTTATAGCCTACTTGATTTTCATAGTCTTCTACTTTTCCGTTTCAGCGCTCTATTTTGAAGTTGAGAGAAAAGACTACGACAATCAAGGAGGCCATAAAGGCGTCCTACAATTGTAGGAACGACTGCCGATACGGCCCTTAGTGCATACTTTTGGGCAGATTTGCCTACCAATGGTTACCAAAGGGTCTAATACATGGACGTACATTTTTCCTCTGGAAACGTAGTCCTGAAATACCCTATTTTGCGATGTTATTCAGTTATTGTTAATAAACTGGCATAAATTAAATAAAGCAAATTAACGAAAGAAAATGTTTGTTAAGTGAACAGCGTATAAACAATTCTGGTTTAATTCGTGATTTTCGAAGGTGAAAATACATTGCTTGAGCTCTATTCGGTTTTTCTAAATAGTTGATCCCTGCAGATTCTTGGCTAAATTTTTTGGGACTGACACATAATCATAATGTACAAAACTGCCCTATTTCCAATGTCTATTCGGACCTCTGCGAAAAATTACTGCAAGCGCCTATTTCTGACGACAGAGCCTTCAAGCCGATGCACTTGTGGTTGACGGGGTCCAGACTCAGCATCGTTCGCGATCGCGACAAGATCTGTCTTCATTCATTTGTTCTACCTTATTAAGGGCAAATACAAGGGAAAATTTATATGTGAAATATGCCTAATAGGTCCCTAGAATTACCGAGGTTAGCAGGGTTTAAGTATACCACCGCAAACAAATTGAAAAATAGGGTGTCCGTATAGACCACGCGATTAGACGTCATTGAACAGTATTCAAATGAGCAACGTTTAATTATTTTGAAAACTGACTACAAAAAATGTAGAAAATTACGCGGAAACAGTTCGCAAATTACGTGCAATTTGATACAAAATTCACGTTGCTGAATGTGAAGACCACTGTTCGTCGCCGTGCTGGTCGAAAATATAGTCGCAGGGATAGTGTGGCCGAGAATCCAGGCTCTTCCATTCGGCATCGTGGCCAAGAATTGAACCTTACCAGACCCACTCTGCAACGAATTTTGACAAAAGATCTGTTATCCACAATTTTAAGAAAAGACTGACCCTGTGCCAGAGGTTTCGTGGTGGCCATTTACCGGATGTCCTATTTCACGTTCAATCGCAACTATTCCTCTTAATGTTGAAATATAAATATTCACTTAATTCGAAAAGAACTTGCGTTTTTCTTGAAAATCAAATCGGTCACTCTTATTGAGACACCCGATAAACCATCCCCAAGCCCCTATGTTTTACATTTAATTTTTTCAAGTGAACAGGAGCCTCTTAAGCGTCAAAAAACCAAGTTTGATCTATTTTTTTTTGTTTTTCTGTCTTTAGCTCCGCCGCCACTGGATCGGTTCTTAAAAACTACAAAGATTTTCCGTCTTTGGTATAGTAGTAATCTTGTGTCAAAATTTCATCAAAATCCATGCAGCCGGAAATGAGTGACATGTTTGCAACATCTACAAAAAAAAAATTCATTTTTGATCTTTCTTGCAACTACAATACTTCCTCGGCAGAGGCGCAGCTTCACAGTGAAAAATTTGTCGAAAGTTGGTTCTACGTGTACAACAACACTCAACACGGATTCCGGAAATTAATTTTAAACGTAAAATCGTTTTTTGTTAATATTGCATAGTTGTAAGATAATAATAGTCAATTATCCCGTTTCTAACGCTATCGCAAAAAAATTCAATGAAACATGCACGCTTTGTATAATACTTGTCTGAATTATTTTATTTTATTGAATCTATTGTATACCTGCTGCAGAATATCATTAATAAGTCCTCTAATGGAATATTATACCTTAATTTTTTCGGTAAAAAATGGTACATTAGTAGTTACAATAACACGCGCAGAATTGAGGTGATATACTATCAGGCAAATTAGTATTTTTGAGTAAAATTACTTCCGTCACAGCCAGTTCACTTGAATACTCTAATTGCTTCGTAATATGCTTTAATAGTTTCTTTATGGTCCAAAATAATATTCTGCATTCCTAAAAATACTGTTTTCGTCCGTCGGACCAAACAGAGCGAGATTACTCGAAAGTTCCAACAGATAGCTGCTATTCACTCTCGCAAAGGTCGATTCTGGTAATAGATGGCACTTTTGCTAACGTATTTAGATAGACCTGATACCTCCGATAGATGATACTTTGTTCTGCTTTCATTCGTTGTCTTTCCTGCCTAGACCGCGCTGATGATTGCCAATAAGCATGAAACATCTGTGAAGAATTTGGTCGGACGGACGAAATTATTTCTGTCTCAATGGCTATCTGTTAAGTCCTCATTTCACGAAATATTTCGAGTAAGGAGGTTACAAGTAAAGTCAAAAGGTACATAGGAATACAGAAGATTTTAAAAGAAACATACCTTTTCCTTTTTCTTTAACTTCAGGATGTTTACGGCACAGAAGCCATCCTACATGCGAAAAGAAGAATCCCCTCTTCGCGTTATGTGGATCTGCATCTGTTTCGCTGTATTTGTGGTGCACCCTGTGATCTCGGGCCCATTCCATTACAGAATTCTAGAAATAAACAGAAAATCATGATATTGTAGCTCTCCTATCTTTTAGATACGACACCCGGCAGGATCGGTCACAAGTGCTGGCAAGCCCACTCAAGCAAAGCCAAACGCTCTATTTACACGTTTGTATTTTTGTGATGATTTGACGTGGTTTGGAAAGAGCGTGAATCCATCATTACACTTACATAAAGAAAAAACAGAATAAGCAATGAATATTAATAAATAATAATGGCTTTGCTGGCGTGGAGAAAAGGATCAATAGCAAACCGTTAATCATAAGTTGATGAGTTTCGATGATTTATGTTCATTTGAAAACTTTCGATTTTTTAAAATCAGTCGTTTCGTTTTCGTGAAACTTAGAAAAATCTTAATTTGTTCAGATAGAGAACAAAAACGTACGAAATTATCACCTTTTATTTCAATACGTGTTCAAAATGTTGCCCGTTAGGGTTTGCCAAATCTACAATTCGTTTATAATTTAAAACGGAAACTACCAACACAAACAGCAATTCGGAAGATTAGATGTGGCAACAACCAAGTAACAACCCGAATTTTTTTCCGCATTCTTTTCATCAACACAGCTATCCTGGGCGAACTGTATTTATTGTTATATCTACCTGTTTAGTTATTTGTTGCTAAGGGAAAGAAATAATTTAATCTGCTGTCAGTTACCTTTGTGACAATCTTGGGATAGTACAAATTAATTTACTGATTCAGAGTTTACTTCCAAAATGGTTTACACAGTAGCCAAAAGAGTGGAAATGATGCTGATGATTTAAGGTGTCCAAAATTAATGTGCTCGGCAGACTACCGTCACGTTTAACGCCAGACATCCGGGGAAGATAACTTTGCATAGGTAATAAAAAAAAAAACGTGATCATCGGAGAGACATTTGTTTGGATGTGTTGGAAAAGACTATCAATCCGCTTATCACTGAAACCATTGTTAACCAAATCGAAGAGGATGGAAACCATATAGCTGACTATGTTCTTCCGGTTCGGCAATGTATACGCGACAAGTTTCCAGATAAATGGACAGGGCGAAGAGGGACTATAGAATGGCCTGCTAGATCTCCTGATTTGACACCATTAGAATTTTTTCTATGGGGCCATTTGAAATCTAATATGTTTACTCCTCAACCTGAAAGTTTGGATGACTTCGTCAACGCATCATCGAAAGCTGCCATGATATCCCCCCATGTTTTTGAAAATGTCGCCTATATCATTGTTTGGCCAATAACGGGCAACATTTTGAACACTTTTTGAAATAAAAAGTGATATCTTTGTGTGCTTTTGTTTTCTATCTGAACAAATTAAGATAATTACTGGATACCCCTTGCCTTTTAAATTTTTTCAAGTGGATGACCCTGGGGGATAGAGGGTTTCAGGGTTTTTTGTTAAAAATGTTAACCCCCTTGACAAATGTTTCCGCGTGTCTCGGCGTTTTTTCTTTTAATCAGTTGTTTTCGATAAATCCGTGGTGAGAAGTTTTCAAATGACCCGCGTTACGACTGAAATTGTTACTAACATCAAACATTGTTTCTAAGTGATCCTTAAGGTCCGTGTGTAGGGCGCCTTTATGGCCTCCTTGATTGTCATAGTTTTCTACTTCTCCGTGTCAGCGCTCTATTTTGAGGTTATGTCACAAACATCTATTTGCATAAAATTGTGCTTGCTTTCCTACAATTTAAAAAGAAAACATATCCTCACAATAGGAGAGCGCTGACGTTGACACGGGACAAGTGTAATCTAGAAATTTTTGAAGGAGAGAAAGGAGTATGACAATCAAGGAGGCCATAAACGCGCCCTACAATTGTAGGGACGACTGACGATACGTGCCTTAAACTTCCGATAATGTTTTGTAATTTTGTTGGCAATAGTAAAGTAACGGTCAACTTGCATGCTTGGGAAATTTAGTTAATTTGTTAATGGCGCCACTATACATTCCGCGGGTAAAACTGCGGGGAGGAACGATAGTATTTTAACAGGATTATTAAAATTTCGAAACTACCGTTTTAACGTAGACTAAATTTCATATTGTAAAAGCTACCTGCCGGGCAGTGGCGACGCGTGACTTTTCCTAAACTGTTACCAAAACCAGATGTAAGAAATCTTATTAAAAAAAGTTTATTTTGAACCTCCCAAATATATTTTTTGCTTATCTTAGGTATTTTAATTAAACTATTTTTAAATTAAGGTAAACATTCCTGGACTGAGCGTCTGGGGCATTTGATATACCTCATGCTAGGACTAATCCAAGCCGTCCGAAAAAACCGTGGACGTTTCTAGAAGCAGCGGTGGCCGCAGTGGTAGACTATTCGGTCTCCTGATCAGTCACCGTGCGCTGTGCGGGTTCGAGTCCCGTCCCAGGAGAAATTTTTCTCTTGGCTATGGATGTTGTGATTGTCCGTAGGTGGTAGACGGTCTCTGACTGTCGAACGTGGAGGTACCACCCGGCGGATCTCGTAGGCGGAGCCAGAATGTGTGCATGTTGCATGCACACGTGTTCCCTCGCCAGAGTCCGTGTGGCGTTCCCCCTTTCCCCTGTATCCCCCTATAGCCCCACGGTACCCAATGGGTGTTTAGGCTTTAGGCCTTCGTGGTAGTTGGAGTATAAAAAAAAAGATGTTCGGAAAATTTTTGATCTTTTTTGGCAATGCATGTTAACAATTCCCTGTAATTTCCTCTATTGTCAGAGTCATCCCCTTCAAAATGAATGGTAATTCCTGTTTTGCCAAAAAACATACGGTATCCAGAAGTGTGCTGCCTAAAAGCTTGGTTAAGACAACTTTCGATTTTTGTCATCTCACATGTAAAGGAGAAATTTCATGTCTCCTTTTTAGAGCCGTAAAACTATTTAAATTGTTGACTCCGCAGCTGGTCCACCCATTTTTTTCTGTATAAAACAGATGACATAGCCAACAATACAATCTGTTTTTTTTGCAACCACATAACCAAGAGTTTACATATACCAACTTAATTTAAAATATCAAACTACGTTTTTTTATTCCTTTTTAAAATTAGATACCTAAAATAGGTGTTGGTCTTCCATCTTCAATGATCTCCATTTTTTTCTTAAGAATTATACAAGGAGAATGACTTTTCAAGTAGTTGATCGATTACGCAGCGACACTCATCCATGTTTAATTGCACGCACACTACGGCCGGTAACCAAAACGGCTACTAACGAGTGAGAAGTGAGTAACCAAATCAAAAAATGGTAACAAGCCCACATAATAGTCGCAGCGCCCCACGCACTCGGGCGACCGCGATCAGACACGAGCCGGCACCGACGGTCCCCGACAGACTACCAAGTCGAGGCGAGTCAGCTTCATCGTGTTCGCAAAACCTAGACACTATAGGGCGCATTATTTTCGTGCGACTAATTTGCAATTTACTGAATTACTATTACATATATCGCTGTTGTTAAACAAATAAATGAAATTATTTCACAATACTTAGTCATAAAATATTTATCTTTAAGATTTTTAACTGTTACCAATGGTAACAATGGTTACATGGACGCTTCGCTACTGTTTCCGGGTCCCAAAGTAAAGTAAGAGAATCTCATTATTGCCATTTTTTAGGTGTCTAGTAGTAAAAAAAGGAATTTCAAACAGTGCTCCTTAACCTATAAAACGTCAAAAAAACCTATAAGATGCCATCTTGCAGACTAGGTCGTTTTTAGGGCGCAAACAGTCACTTTTCAAGATACATGATACCCGTGCGGGTCTGTCTCAAGGTTCCTGGCTGACATGTCCTGTTCATAAACTACCTCGCTGCCAAATTTCATGTTCATATGTCAAGTAGTTTCAGGTATTTTGTATTATTTCGATTTCATGTATATCTACCCCTATATCCCATTAATCCAACACTGTCGCTAAATCCGTTCTTAGCCTTAATTCCCTGCCCATAAACTACCTTCCAATCAAATTCCAGGTTCATAGGTCGAATAGGTTTCGAGATTTCGTGATTAATGAGCGAATATCTTTACGCGCTTATATATCTACCCTTAGCCCTCCTTAATTTAGTTCTGTCGCAAAATTCATTCGAAGCTGTCCATTCTATGAATTATACAGGGTGTCCCGGTTTCTACAGCTTAAAATAGGAAGAAAAGTTTATATAAACATAGGTCGACAAACGTCCCCTAAGGGCGCTACGGTCTTTTAAAGGGGCTCCCCTTAATATTTCCGAAACGTGTTGAGATAAAGACATAAAATTTGGTATTCTAGCCTAGTTTTATGCTGGATTTAAAAATATTAACAATTTTAGACAGTTTTGTTTGGAAGCGTATATAACAGGGACGGACTCAGGTTATTTTAGCCCCAAAATTTTTGTGTGATTCTATTTCTGAAATTCAATTTTAGAATTTGAAAATTTAGGGTTTTATACATAAAAAGGTACTCTTATCGAATATCGATAAATTGTGCCATTTTTGAATAAAATCAAACTAAAAAAATTGTCACATGATAGGAAATGTACTGCGAATTTAAATTGATTATACATAGTTAGCCATGACTGCAAACAAAAGTTGTTTTGATTTGTTATGACTTATTTTGACGTTAAGCTGACATTATTAGCAGTGTAAAATTACTAGATTAAAATCAAAATTTTTATTAAATCGATTTAAAATGCCAAGATTTACAGACAGAGAACTGACTGACATGCATTTTGTGTACGCGTTTTGCAATGGCAGTTCATTGGCAGCCGTAATAGAATATCAAAGAAGACTTCCCAATCACAATATTAAAATATTGAGCCGCTCTATTCAGAAAATCTTAGAAAAATGATTTAATAATATAATAATATATAGTGCTTTTCAAAAAGGTCCCCCTATTTATTTCTTAAACGGGCCGAGCTAGTAAGATGAAATTCTGGGTAATGAAATTGATGCATACACTGCTTTTTTGCTAGAAAATGAAATTTCAAGATGGCGGCTGAGCGTCATTTTGAAATATTTTTTTAAATAGAATAAGTGGTCGAGTGATACCTCATTTTGAAGTACATTATGAGTACGTTATGGCCACAGGATATAAAATCACGATCGTCCAAAGGGCGCACTGAGAGGCTGTCAAAATTGAGTGTGTTTGTACACTGAGTCGTTTATAATGACAACCAATTGTCAAAACGCTATAGCATGCTATATCAAACTGCTATTGGAAGGAACTATCCAAATATGTAATAAAATGTGAAATATACTAAGTGACATATAAATCGGAACACCCAGTTTAAATGGTTTTATTTTAATAAAAGTTGGTGAATGTATTTATCTTACTGTAAATAACAAGTGAAAAAATTTTCAGCCTTATCAGTTGGACATTCCGGTTTTTATACTGTTTTTTTTAATTCACTAACGCTCTAAAAATGAATATTTCAGCCGCAGTAAAGAATCAACGTTGGCGGATTTTGGTTCTTGACATCCTTTACGATCGGTAACGATGCCTAGAGTACGGAGACCTGTACGATTTCGTGAACTTAGTGAGTTTGATAGGGGCCATATAGTGGGACTTCGGGAAGCTGGACTTTCTTTTCGGGCAATTGCAGTTAGAGTGCAAAGAAGTGTAGACACTGTGGTTAAGTGTTGTCAGGCATGACTTCGAGACGGCCGTACGTAAACAGCAAGGGGCACTGGACGCCGCCGTAGAACAACAGACCGTGAAGATCGCCGCCTAAGATTATTGGCCTTAAGGGACCTTTTCTCCACTACCAGGTCCATTGCAAATGAATGGTTTGCAGAACACGGAAGACCTATTGGCATGCGAAGTGTTTACCGACGAATGAGAAGTTTTGGCTTGTTTTCATACCGGCCACACTGGGTCCTCCCTTTAACTCGAGAACACCGACGTAATCGCCTTGAGTGGTGCAGACAACGGTCACTCTGGGATCAGGAATGGAACAGTATTGTCTTTAGTGACGAGTCTCGATTTTGTTTAGGCATGCACGATGGTCGTGTTAGGGTTAGAAGGCGACGTGCTGAAAGGAGGAATCCACAGTTTTTTGTTGAAAGACATGTTCATCACACTGTTGGAGTTATGGTTTGGGGTGCTATAGCTTATGGTTCCAGGTCACCTTTAATCTTCATCAGAGGTAACATGAACGCGCAGCGTTATATCCACGAAGTTCTAGAACCCCATCTTTTACCCTACCTTGACACCATGGCAGATCCAACTTTCCAACAAGATAATGCCCGACCACATGTTGCAAGAGTCACAATAGACTTCTTTCAACATAATGATGTCACATTGTTACCATGGCCACCAAGATCTCCCGACTTATCCCCAATTGAGCACGTGTGGGATATGATGGGTAGGAGACTGCTCAATTTGCAACATCCTCCTCAGACTCTAGAAGCACTTCGAGAGGAGTTGGTGGTTGCCTGGAATGAGATACCACAGGAGGACATTGACCACCTGATCAGAAGCATGCCTAGGCGCGTTGGAGAATGCGTAGCACATCAGGGTGCATCCACACATTATTAAAGGTCAAAGGGCTTTAAAGCAGTGCAATCATTTTGAAATTTTTATCATTTACTTATTATGCTTCATTAAGTACTTATACAAAATTTTATTAAAATAAAACCATTTAAACTGGGTGTTCGGATTTATATGACACTTAGTATATATCATTAAAAGGAATTGTCAAAATCTGTTAATTGTTTTAATCAGAATGTTTCATATTTTATTGCACATTTAGCTAGGTCCTTCCAAAAGAATAATTTTGATATAACATACAATAACGTTTTGATGGGTAGTTGTTGAGTTATGAGTGATTTAATGTACAAAAACGCCAAACTTTGCGATACCATTTTGAAAGATAGTCTTCATATTCTCTGGTTATAAAGTAGTCGTAAAGAGCTTCACAATAAGGTATCATTTTATTTAAAAAATGCCACAAGATAACGCCCAGGCGCCAACTTTTTACGCTCAAATGTTATTTTTAAAAAAATAATTATTGTGGACCTTTCTGAAAAACAATGTATCTTTCTCAAAAGGCATGCTTAATGATGTTTATTTAGGATTTTACAATCTCCTAATAGGCTTCAGAATTATACATTTTCTTTCCTCTGATTGTAATATCTAAAAAAAGTCGTTAAGCATGCCTTTTAAGAAACATAATTATACAGAGTGTAAACTAAGTAGTGGATCAACGGAATTCAGATGATAGAGGGCCTCGAAAGATATCGAATGATCCCCTATATGTGTGGTCCGAAATTTTATAGTTCAGAAGATATTTGCAATTTTGTGATATTTCTAAAAAGAAAAACGGGATAATGAACTTTCAATGGCAATTACAACTAAAACATTAGGTTGTGATTTTTTTTGAGATGAGCTAAATGGTTAGTTTTAGCAATGGTTATGTCACTTTTTAACAGAGCTAATTAGAAATCAACGAAAAAATATAAAATTAATTTTTTTGTGAAAAATCTCTTCCACCCCTCAACTTTGGAAGGTGGTAAAGAAAATTGAGGTTGTATTTCATTAATCATCTTATTGTAAAAAATATTTGAAAAATTGAGATCATTTCTGAATGGTGCACCATTATATTTTAACAATTTGATGCGTTCCATCAGCACAAAAAAATTGAGCATAGTCGCTAGAGTGACCGTGCCGTCATATTGTGAGTGAAAAATAAATGGTTCGAAAATGTTTGACATGCCTCCGTATAGGGAAACTTGACCATTACGTAAAAGTATCAGAATTTTCCAATAACTCAATGTTTGGCCTTGAATTTAACAGTTGCATTAGTGGTAGTATTATTAGTAAATCCATCAAACGATAAATGCAATTCGGACTATGAGACCCAGTTATGATGAATACATTATAAATGTGGAGTTATTGGAAACTGTTTCAAGGCTTCATCAATATTAGATGAAACTTTGAATATTTTATGAGTTTCCGTACTTTAACGACTGGTATTTATCGATACAACTTTCATTATCACCACGTTATCATATTTTTTTCATATTTTTCATAGCCAATAGGAATTCAACTTTTATGGTTGTTGAAGTTTTTTTTTAGATTCATGCCAGGGAGTTTTCGAGATGTACAGGTTGCTGCAGGAAGTTATATGGAAAATTCAAGGGCATAATAAGCACATGGTAATACAGAATATCATATCAAAGTAGGAAATGTTTTGATTCTAAAATAATGGGTGTTAAACGTATGCTTAGCAAAATACTGCACGCCACTGGTGTAGCTTTCTCATATTAACTCTGCTTGAATTGTGTCTCTTGGAGTTTTTCGTTATATTCTTAAAACTAATTTTAATAATTAATATACTAATAGAATAATTATTATTTTGCTGCCTGAACGGAAAACTTTAGGATATAGTATTTAAGTAGGATCAATCTGGCATCAAAATGTTGACTCTCAAGATAATGTTTCTGAGAGGATGAGGGTTTCTAAGCGGGATTTCAGGCTCTGAAAATAATTCAAATTTCAAGTTGATCACACTTATGAAATTTATATATTTATATTTTATTATTTTAGTACTTGATTATTGCTTGAAAGCTTAAGGTTCGCAGTTTTTGCATTTTTGACCAAAATTTAGTTTTTATACCTAAAAGCGCATGGTCACAAGACTATCTTATTCAAATGTATAATAAGACGGACATATATACATATCTGCGCATATGGCGCCAAGTAGGTTGACTCTGTACTTCCCACGCAACGCCGTTATCAGTTGATATTATATATTATGTTCAGCACAAACCAGACCCCTCTGAGAAAAATGTCAATCACACAGGTGCATACAATTAGTCCATAGACATTATTTCTCTGCCCTACCGGGAGTGCATCTGGCAACGTCGCCTTAACCTGGTTAGACGTGGCAGCGCGGTCGGAGCATAGCGTGAAACACACGATACACATACGCTGAAGATATAATATTGCGTATGTGGGCGGAGCTTCGTGACAGAACATACTAAAATATAGGTAGTGTTGAAAAATGGAATTATCTTGTTTTTACAGTGAAGAGACGATACGCTCTAGTGTGGAGCTAGAAGCCGTCTAAGCTATAGCCTGTGAAATATGAATTACAGGGTTGAAATCTTTTATTAAAATCCACCATTTTGTGTTTTATAAAATTTCAATGTAGCTAGTGTCACTCGCACCGCTAAGACGAATCCAAAGACACCTCATATGTGAGCATCCGTCCAGCCGTTTGACCTGTAGGTGAAAATATGCACGTTATCCATATCAACCCAAATGATAATCACTCTCCGGGTGACGTCATGCGCGCCGGCGGACGAAACTCGGACAGCGGAGCATACGGCCCTGCGTGAAACACCAGTCCAGACCAGAACAACGTGCCGCCGGTCGCGGCAGACGCGGCCGGTAGGTAAGCGATCCGTTTGCTGAGAATATTTTTATTTAAATTTTAAGAGCTAATGTTGTGTGAAAAAAGAAGAATGATTCTGAAAGCTAAGAATACACATGCTCTTAAATATTTAGATGCAAAAATTCATAGATGCATTCAACTTGAAATATAAGTTATTTCCACGATTGAATTTACGCTTATAGATCATGACTCTTTCTCATCATATGTTACCTATCTATCTTATATAAACAAACCCTAAGTTGATATAATTAAAAAATGTAAATTTCAACTTATCAGTAGTACTTACTTCGAAAGCTAGAGTGTTGCAGAGAACGAGTATTACCCTCAAAGGCCATGTTGCTTTGTATGACCGATGTGACCAAAGTCTGTGTGCTCCTGCTGTTATTCCTAATCCTGCTAGGTGGTATAATACGTAAGCTGTAACAAACGAAACCGTAAATTAAACAACTCGAAATCACAAATTTGACAGAGTACAGGAAGCAAAAGACCTAGGTATTACTATTGTTGCGGATCTGTCATTTTCAACACACTTGAATCAAATAGACAAACCAGCTTCACGTATGCTTGGATTTGTTATTAGAAATGGCAGATCTTTTACTAACAAAGAATCATTAAAAATACTGTATTTCACTTTAGTTATAAGCTTACTTGGATATGGTTGTATCATCTGGTCTCCTTTATATATTACATATATATCTAAAGTGAAGAAGATCCAAACTAAACTTTTAAAATATCCTCCGTTCAACTATCCAAAGAAGGACCTTTTAGATCACTTTGGCATGGTCAGTCTTGAACAGAGAAGATTTTTGTTAAGCTGCTGCTTTGTGCATAAGTTGCTAAGCAATCAGATTGATTGTAGTGAAATTTTTTTGAACTTAAACTTTACAGTGCCTAGGTTGAATAGTAGGAACTACACCATGTTTTATCTTCCAAAAGCTTCAACAAATACTATGCTAGCATCCCCTTCATACAAAATGTTGAAATGCTTGACTTTGATATGAACGAACATATAACTATATATAAAAGAAAAATATTGTCATATTTGAAAACCGTTCAGTGACGTAAACTATTTTCAACTTTTCAGTACCTTTTAATCTTATTCTTTATCTATTTTAGGGGTAGAATTAACGTTAAGAAATATATTAATTTGCATGTGTTACTACTGCACTGATGGGGCTTTGTTTTGGATTTCTGATACACACACATAGGTTTTTTTTTAGTATCATCAATCCATGATATTATTTTTTGTATGTGTGTCTATTTGATTTTCAACACTTGTATAGTGTTTCTCTGTAATTGGATCTTGTATCTGTTGAGAAATATATGAATAAAATAAAAATAAAACTGGTAAAATGCTGCGCCAATGGTTTGGTAAGCAACCCTCCATCCTCAACGGTTGCCTTGAGCACCAAACAGCGCTGTCTGCGGTTGGTTATAATTAAAGAGACGGGAAGCAAACACGTCCATTTCAACCGTATCATTTATGCATAGGCAGGGTGTAAAGTTAATAGTGGATCAACGGAAGTCAGGTGTTAGAGAGCCTTAAAACATATCGAATGAATCTTTGGTCATTTGTAAATGCAAAAAAGAAAAACTCTAGAATTCCAGGGAACATGACGTTTAATGAAAACACTTGTACCTCGCCACAGGACATAGTCGATGCTTTTGCAAAAAAAATTTCAACTGTGTTTATAAATTCTGATTCTTCTAATCATGAGTTCATGACTTCAAATCTAACTACTATGAATTATCTCTGAACACTGTAAATGAAGCGGATATAATTCATGCTTCCAGAAAGTTAAAGAATAAAATCAGGCTATGATGGTGTTTTAATGAAGGAATGCATTCATGTATTGGCGAAACCGCCTTGCTCGTATCTGGAAAATGACCAAGGTCTTTAAAAGTGGCGATATAAGTAATATTTGTAACTATAGGCAGATTGCAATTTTGGTAAGATTTTTGAGGTTATTATTTATAATACCATTTTCAACTAAAAATGTACTTTTTCTCCTAACCAGCATGGTTTTGTTGCTGGCAGATCAACAGTCACAAATCTGACCTGCCTGACTCAAACTATCTCTGAGGTATTAGATGACCAGGGTCTGTTGGATGTCATTTATACCGACATTCAAAAGGCCTTTGATCAGATAGATCATTACTTTCTTCTTTCTAAGCTTGAAATAATTGGGTTGTCTAAATCTTTATTGAAGCTTATCAGATAATATTTATTTGATAGAAATCTGTACGTTGAGTTTGGTGGTTTTAAATCTAATTCTTATACAGCAACATCTGGAGTGCCTCAAGGATCCAATTTAGCTCCTTTGTTTTTTGTGTTGTTTATCAGTGATCTGTCGCTGGAATTGCCTGGTATGCATTTACTTTATGCTGATGACTTAAAAATTTATACTGCTATTTAGAGCTATCACGACTGTATCTCTCTTCAAAACAGCTTGAACTTGGTGCATTCTTGGTGTTCCAGAAACTCTCTTACGATTAATGCATCGAAGTGTAAAGTTCTATCTTTTAGTAGGAAGCAAAATGTAATTCATTATGATTATAGTATCAATGATCACTTACTCGAACGAACAGAAACGTTCAAAGATTTGGGTGTTGTATTCGATGCCAAGCTGACATTCAAGGATCACATCACTCAAATGGTGAATTCAGCGTTTAAGATGCTAGCCTTTTTTGTAAGGAATTGGTCAGGATTTTCAAACATATCAACTCTAAAGCTTTTATATTTTACATTTATTAGAAGTAAGCTGGAATACGCTTCATTAATTTGGTCTCCAATCTACAACAATTCAACGGTTAGTATTGAATATGTGCAGCGTAAGGCTTTAAAGTATTTGTATTACAAAGATTTCGACCATTCTATTTTATGAAACATTTTTGATATAGAGTCATTGCATCTTTTGTACAAAATCATACACAATCAAGTTAATTGTTCATTCATATTAAGAAAGCTCAATTTTTGTGAGCCTAGGTTGGGAAATCGTGTTCAAATCACTTTCTATCCGGTTATTGGTAATACTAATTTAATGTCTAGATCTCCGGTAAATATGATTTGTACACGATCCAATTCTGTTTGCAGTTCCTGTGACTTATTTTTTGATAGTGAGAACTTTGTTATGAAGTGCTACAGAGACTGGTACCTTTGTCAGTGAGAGTTTGTTTTTCTTTTATTTAAAGTTTTTGCGTGTTTGGCGTTGCCGCTGTTGCTGATTATGTAACTTTTTCTGTAATTGGGTATTACCTATTGGAAATAAATAAATAAATAAATGAATGAACTCCTATATGTCTTTTTCAAAATTTTATAGTTCAGGAAATATCTGCAATTTTGTGAAATTTCGAAAAAAAAAGGGATGATGAACTTTCAATCGCAATTACAACTAAACCATTAGGTTTAGCGCTGTGATTGGTTTTCTGAGATGAGCTAAATGATTAGTTTTAGCAAAGGTGATGTCACTTTTTAACAGAGCTTATTAGAAGTCAATGCAAAAAATCTTAAATTGATTTTTTTGTGAAGAATCTCTTCGATCCCTCAACTTTATTTAGATGGAGTGTATCATATCACATACAATACAGCAAACACTACCATGGTGGAATTCATTAGGAGTTGGCGAGGAATGTCAGCAGATTTTAGACTTTCGAGAAGACTAAATAGAAATGTGTCGGATAACTTTCTATCTCAAATTTTGTCTCACGACATTTCTAGTGTCACTATTCAGCTTCAGAGCCCCAAATCTCGTCTATATTTCGGTTTTTTTGCGATAGTAAATTTATTCGTATATTCATACATTGATGAGAAACTCTCATTCATCACTCACGTAGCACATCGTAAATGATGCAAATAGAACACTAGGGTTCATAAACAGGACATGCAGAGAATTTACGAATCCAAAAACGCTTCTTTCATTGTACTATGCTTATATACACAACAAATTGATGTTTGCATCAGTAATATGGAATCCGTCTTACAATGTACATATAGCCAGGATAGAAAGAATTCAACACAAATTTTTGAAGATGTTAGCACATAAAACTCACCAACCTGTTACAGATCATCATTATACGCAAATTATGAAACATTTCAATATGATTTCCTTAAAAGATAGAAGAACGATTTCTGACATTTGCTGTGTTCATAAATTGTTGAATGGCCTCACTGACTGTCCGGATCTTTTATGAACTGATGTCAGCGGTGCCTGGCTTGTGCAGTTTCAACCTACTTGATGGCATTTTTTATTGTGAGCGCAGTGACGCAACACGTTTATTTTTACATGTATATGTTTTGTGTGTCAGTCTGTTTTATTGCGAATTTACGACCATGCTCTCTTACAATAGTATGATAAATTGAGCACAAGCAGAAGGAAATCTGGCGATCGCCACCTACGAATTGTTTCGCTAAGCTTTTAAATATTTGAACACGGATGAATTTCGGCCAACAATTTCAAGTTTATGAACTTCAAGCTTTCAAAGAGCAACCAGGTACTTAAATCAAATTTGTCAGCCATGAAATACGTTCAGACCTAAACGCATGCGTATTCCAAAATATAAGTTACGCTTTATTTTATTTTTGTTCGGAACTAAGTAATTCGTTACTTGTTCTAAATAAAATTAGGAACATTTATGGTCTTGTTTTCTTACCAGTGTTTATGCGTGTTTGATTTGCATCATTGTTTTGTGGTTTACATTTCAAAGCAAAAATATCGAATCATAAACTGAATTGCATTCATTGAGTACAGTAGAACCTCGATTACCTGAATCGTGATTATCCGAAATCTGCTTTAGCCGAATCCGAAATAGCCGCCGGTAGTTCCCCCTTCGGCGTTTGGGTCACTAGATTCGCTACCGGTGAGTCCCCAAGCGCGTTTGCGGAATTCACTGGTATGTCTGCGTGTATGTTTGTTTCAGTCAGGTTCATAATTGCTAAGATGGAGCAGCATAGAAATAAACGTGAACACGTCGTTATTGCCATAAAACAGAAACTTGAGGCGTTTAGATAGAGGTGATTTGCTTAAAAACGTGGCAAGTGATTTGGGTGTGGACGTGAGTACCATTTCAGAATGGAAAAAACAACGCGAGAAAATTGAAAAGTGGTCTAGTGTTCTCACGCCATTGCAGCCATCACGGAAAACTATGAAAAAGGGGGAATATCAACTTATATCTGTGGTTTACACAGACTCGAGAAGGTGGAATAATAATTTCCGGACCAATTGTAAAGTCAAAAGGCAGTCGAATTAAGTAAAGAATTGCCAGTTATTGAGGCGTCCGATAACTTTGGAGGCAGTGATGGTTGGCTGCATAGATGGAAAAAATGACACGGTAGACGAGAATTAAAAGTTTGCGGAGAAAAGTTATCTGCCGGTAAGTGCGCTGCATTAAAATTTGGAAAACATTTTAAAAAATTAAAG